GGCCCCGCTCCCCCCCCGGGGCCAGCCTGTGTTAGCTGTCCAGCCATTCCTAGGGTGGGCAGAGAGGGGGAGGGACTCAAGCCCCCAACCCTGCATTCCCCAAGCAAATGCCCTTTCCCCATGGCCACTCCGGAACCCACCCCTCTTTGCTACCTTCAGGGTGCCCCCTCCTACACTCCGAACCCCTTGGCCCAAGCCCAGAGCCTGCACCCCAACCTTCTACCCCAGCCTGGTGAAAGTGAATGAGATTCGGGGAGAAAGGGGGAGGGAGTGAGAAGGGTGAGGCCTCGGCAGAGGGGCGGAGCAGGGGCAGGGCCTCAGAGAAGGGGAGGAAGGAAGCCAAGCAAGGGTATCTGGGTTGGAGATGGAGCTTACATTGCACTGAAATTGAAAAAGTGATCCCGTTAAAAAGGTTGGAGACCCCTGATTGACATCAGTTTGAAATGCCCCATGACTGCACAGGGGGGCCTGGTGAGATGTAGTGGGGGGGGCTGTACACTTTTGTGGCCCTGGATCCGCTCTGGTTTGGCATTCACTGGTTGCAGTAGTGTGCTGTGCATGACCCCTACTGGTCTATGCTAATTTGTAGAGACAGAAGGACTGTGTCTACACTGGCACCCTTTTCCGGAAAAGGGATGCAGATGAGACAAGTCAGAATTGCAAATGCAGCGGGGAATTTATAAATAAAGCCTTTTCCAAAAGGTCCCTTATTCCTCTTAAAATCAGGAATAAGGGACCTTTCAGAAAAGGCTTTATTTTCCGAAAGATCTCTGTCTAGACTGGCGCTTTTTTCCGGCAAAGCCCTGAGCCGGAAAAAAGCGGCAGCCATGTTCATGCAAATGGAGGGGGGAAAATGTAAATCCCCGCTTCATTTGCAATTCCGACTTGTCTCATCTGCATCCCTTTTCCGGAAAAGGGGTGCAGTGTAGACACAGCTAGACTGTGGGACTCAGTCTCCTGACTAAATATGTGCAGTAATTTCATGTGAGACTCTGTGTGTGTGTGTCCGCAGCCCGGGGGGGGGGATGGTCCCTGAGGGGAGGCACGTAGGCATGGCCCAGCCGCCTGATACTCAGATATTAAGGTGCTATAAAAGTACCTGCATAGACAAAGGAAGTTACCTCAGAAGCACCCGGTGGAGAATTATTCCTTTTGATGGGGTGGTGAAGAAGTGCAGCCTTAGGGTGTGTCTACACTGCAGGGCTTAGCTCAATTTGTGTAGCTTATTTTGAGTTTGACACAGCACTTATTTCAAAATAGAGCCCTCTTTCTCTGACTTTCCTTATTCCTCATGCAATGAGGGTTACAGGAGTTTGAGTAAGAAGTCCTCCTGCTTGACAGTGTTTTGACATGATTTCAGAATAACTGCCTGCTGTGTAGATGTAGATTACGCTATTTTGAAAGAGTTAGTTATTTTGAAATAGTGTTGCAGTGTAGACGTTCCCCTAGTCTTTACTGATACTGATTCAATCTGGAATCTGGTGCAAGGGGGTTTTGTCTGGTTTGTTTCGGTTACTTTGTCCCCACTACCCAATTTTGTACAAAGCAGTGGAATAGGCATGATTTATACATCACTTGCAAGCGAGGCCCTTCCTTGACAAGGCAAAGTTATTTTGCGTAGATTACACTTATAGAAAAGCTCAAGAACTGAAATATACAGAATAGAAATATTTATTAATGTGCTTGCAAAAAGGAAGTAAAAGAACTGTTTTAAATTGGTAAGATTTCAACTTCAAACAGTAATCATTTTATTGAACAATTACTGTACCTCATAAATATGAATGAGAACTTGTAAAGCTTCCACTATTCTTTCTATAACTAATTTGAATTATTTTGTGATTTGTAACACATTTTCTTTGCACTAAAATGACAGTTGTATAGAATAGTGACTCAATATTAGTTTTGTTAGCAGATATTTGTGAACTCTAATCATAATAGACATGATGAAAAAGAATAATTATTTAAAATAGTGTTTCTCAAGGTGGTCCACAGACCCACTGAGAAAGCTGGTACTGGGTGTGACGACACAGTCGGGGTTTCCCTGACACTGCACCCCGTAGCAGCAAGAACAGACTTCACCAGCCAGTAGAACGGAGGGTTTATTGCTTCTCCAGGATACAGCATGGCACAGACGTGATTTTGCTACAGGAGTCTGGGCCAGGATGCCTCAGATCCTTTGTGTTAGGATGGTCCATCACCCTTCCTAGACCTCCAGGCCCCCATTTAGGCTCACTCCCTCCTGTTTCCCAGCCAGCAACCTCAGTCTGTCTCCCTCATGGTTCCAGCCCCACTGCCACTGCCCCTTCACCCTAAACCTGGTGTTGGTCTCTACTCCCTGCCTTTGTCTCTCTCCCTGGGAGGTTAAGCCTAGGTGTCTGGGTTAATCCACATTTGGATGAGTCAGTGAGAATCTCACATCACAGCGCAGGGGGACCCCGGGTTACAGAGCAGACAGCACCCCGCTATGCCACACTGGGCTACTCTTCCCCCCCCCCTCAGAGTGGGTTTGCAAACCACTTTGAGAAATACTGATGTAAAACTTTCACCCAGCATATCCCAGTGTAAAAAGTAGTGCATTCAGCTAATTTAAGTGGCAGGATAGTTTATGCAAAGTTTGGTATCTGTAGGTAATTGTGGAGTATGACTATTTTGCACAAACAAACTCTTCAAAATATAGATGAGATTATGATAAGACAGATCCTATAAGCAGCAGGAGGAGAACTGGGATTCCTACCTGATTCCAGCTTCTGAATGTGATACGTAATGAAGAAAATGATCAAACCAGGCAGACAGGAGCTGACAGCAGAGCTACTACAGAATGAAAGAACCTTCATCTTCACTGTCACATGATCTGGGCAAGGGGACAGAGAAGAGAAAAATGCTTTAGCAAAACATATTTTGCAGTTAAATCTGATCTGCTAGACGAGGAACTATTATCTGTAGTCAGTGAACTGACCTGATTTGTGTCTGGTCACCAGGTCCTTCAAAATGTTAGGGAAAGTAGATCTCATCTTGTTATTATTGATTGGCTGGAAGATGAAAACCAACTTTCCTACTTTTTCCTGCTCCCAGCTCCCTTCTTATCAGTGAATGGATGAGTCATAGAACTGAGCTAGCTGGGTACATTGAAATGAAGAAAATATTTTCTCCACACCTGCAGAAGAGGCTACAGCTTTCAAAAACTGGCAGAGCCCTTCTGGTTCCAGGCGCTTAGCTAGTGACTGCCACCACTCTTAGAACTCTTTTTTAAAACTGATTTTTCAATTAAATTGATGCTAAATGAAAAAAAAATCAAATTGATTCAAAGTGAGAAAGCCTAATCAAGCAGAATAAAAACATTTTATTCACCCATTTCTTATCCTTTTGAAATAGAAAAAAAGGGAGAAAAACAGAAAACTTAAAAAAAGAACCTAAAATCTAAATTTGTTTAGTAATATGATTAAAATTGAAAAATAAGCCAAGTGTTTTACACAAGAGAAAAGCAAAAAATATTATTTTACACCACATTTTTGAATAGCTGTACTCTTATAGGCTTCCTTATGATATTGCTCCTTAAGTGGCTTTGCATACAGAGGGAAATGACCTGTTACACAAGGTGTACATTTCACCTTTCTAGTATGGCCCTACCCAGTGATCAGAATTAGGCACATCCTTAGTTCCCACCGATTTCGGAAAGAAAATAAACACGCTGCAGTTTTCTCTTCTTATTAATTCTGAGCAGGATTTTCGTTTTTACAAAAGCAAAAGGATTCATCTCCCCAGTCTGGAGGCGGAAAACTGGCTTTGTTCAGTGAATTACCAGCATTCAAGACACCGGAAGTTATTAGTTACAAATCTCCCCCGATAACAGTTCAGGGCGCGCTCCTCTTGACTACAATGCAAAGGACACAGATCCCTAGTTCAAGAAGCTGGAAGAGTCTCCTGTGACACTCGGCCCCGCAAGCAACCGGCGCGGTGTGACCGGAATCCCCAGGACGCAGAAGTTCTGCGGTTTCCCTAGGGAGCGAAGCGATCGATCCGGGGTTTTTCAGCCCTTGTGTCTCAATCAGCCGCCCGGGCGCCGCGCGTTAAAGGTTTGAAGCCGCTTTTCTCCGAAGCAAAACGCACCTGTCCCGGGGGATCGTCTCTGAACCTTAAAATCGGGCGGGTGCGGCCAGACGCCAGGCCCGTGGCTGGGGCAGCGACATGTCCCCGGGCTGCCCCCCCC